CCAGGGGAGGAGCAGTCTGTTAGGCCACAGAGGAGGACTTTGCAGCCAGCCCTGAAGATACCTGATAAAACAGGGTCAGATGAAAGGGGAGGAGGTCCTCCCCTATCAGTGGACTTGGAAAGGGGCAGGGAGGAGACCAGGGAGGGAGTGTGGGGTTGGGGAGGGAATGAGGGAGCGGGATACAGCTGGGACACAGAGTTTACAAAATGTAACTAAAAAGAAAAAAATAAAAAAAAACATATATGCATATAAAAAATTATTTTAAGAAAATCTGCATTTTCTTTGAATTCTTTATTTAATAATTTAAGGGAATATTTATACATTGCAAGATTTTTCCACATTTTACTGTTTCTATATGAATATCATTTGTATGCAGATAATATGACAGTTAAATAGAAACTATAGAATAATTTTTTCTACTGAACAAAGACCAATATATAATTTTGAAGAAAAAGTATAGAACAAGTCTCTTTAAACGAACACGGAGGGGTAAATGCCTGTCACTCAAAATCTAACACATGGAAAACGCCTGTAATCATGCTGATTTTAACATCACTTGTGCATATACTTTAATATTTGCGTATGTTTCAAACAAGTTGCACTAACTGCTTCAGCCCTGATCTGAACCCCAAGTCAAATGGAGAATGGTAGCAACTACATCCTAGAGAAAGGTTATAAGAATATTAAGAAAGGACAGGAAACTTGATTAGTATACACAACTCTCATATGATTTAACGACAATGTTCCTTTTCCATTAACTACTTTTCTAAATTACAATGACAAGGAGTACGCAAAAATGTCTATCTCATACATATATGGACAGGTAGGCATGCATGTGTGCTCACAAACACATCTATTTCTAAAAAGGTCTTTCTGGACTCAATTTTTAAAGAGATTAAAAAGACTCTTAGAAAATATGCTACAAATTGATCTTATTTTATATAAAACTTATCTTTTCTATAAACTACTTGAATGTGCATTACTAAAAACTAAATCCCCCATGGAGTACGTAAGACATTAACAAAATCTTCATCACTTGCTATCCCTATACTTAGGCCTTCATAGTAATCTTCAAACTCCCCATATGAAACTTCATCAGACTTGCTGCAGTCATCTTTCAATGTTTCTAGAAAAGATGATTTGATTTCCTCCTCTGTTGAATGCCCTGCAGAAAGAAGACTAACTGTGAAATATTTTACATAGAAGTTGAGCAAAATGACAGATGATGATAAGGGGATACTTATTCATCTTGTGAAATAATTTCTGTAATTTAAAATTGTAGCCAAACTTCCCTCCAATTTATTTAACCATTAAACAGAATTAATTTGTCTTACAATCTTTTAGCACAGAATACACTATAAAAAAAAAAGAAAATTTTCATTATAGCAAAATGATTCAAAGATGAAAAGCTACAGAAAATGGTCAAATAAAATAAACAAAAATATGTATTAACAAAGCAAAAATTGGCAGTAGATAATGTAGGACCTTTAAAATGACCTATAAGAATATTTTTAAGTAAGAGGACTGGAAAGATGGCTTAGCAATCAAGAATATTTGCTGATGGTCCAGCAAAGCCAAGCTTGACCCTCAGCACCCGTATTTCGCGGCTCACAATGGCCTGTAACTCCAATTCCAGGGGATCCCATACCATCTTCTGTCCTCTGTAGGCACCTACACCCTCACGCTCAGACACAAACAGAAGCATATGTAAAAATAAATTCAGGAAAAACGTGTTGCTGACATTTAAACATATACACAACAAATAGGAAGAAAGTGGTCATTTTACTAAAACAAGGAATTTGAATAGAAAGAACTGAATATTGTGCTATGCAAAGATAATAATATATGATAAAATAGACATGCAATATAGGATAAACCTATTAAAATCTGTACATCTAAAGAAACTAATCAAGAGAGAGGACCCTGACTTAAATGCTCAATCCTCATCCCAAAAGGCAAAGAGGAAGAACATCAGAAGAAAAAAACAGGGAACAGGCTAGAAACCTGCCACAGAGGGCCTCTGAAAGGCTCTGCCCTGCAGACTATCAAAGCAGATGCTGAAACTTATGGCCAACAGTTGGGCAGAGTGCATGGAATCTTATGTAAGAAGTGGGAAATAGTAAGAGCTGGAGAGGACAGGAACTCCACAAGGAGAGCAACAGAACCAGAAAATTTGAACACAGGGGTCTTCCCAGAGACTCATACTCCAAGTACCATGCATGGAGATAACCTAGAACCCCTGCACAGATGTAGCCCATGGCAGTTCAGTGTCCAAGTGGGTTACATAGTAATGGGAAGAGGGACTGCCTCAGACATAATATGATTGGCCTGCTCTTTGATCACCTCCCCCTGAGGTGGGAGCAGTCTTACCAGGCCACAGAAGATGACAATGCAGCCACTCCTGATGAGAACTGATAGACTAAGATCAGAAGGAAGGAGAGGAGGACCTCCCCTATCAGTGGACTTGGGGAGGGGCATGCGTGAAGAAGGGGATGGGAGGGTGGGATCGGGAGGGGAGGTAGGAGGGGCTTATGGGGGGATACAAAGTGAATAAAGTGTAATTAATAAAAAAAGAAAAAAAATGAATTTGTGGTTGTTAGTCAAGGCTAAATCTAATAAATAGGGATATAAATTTTAACACAAATTTTCTAATTAAACATTTTTTCTGTTGCTCTCCTTATGGAGTTCCCATCCTCTCCAGATCTTACTGTTTTCCACTTCTTTCATAAGATTCCCTGCACTCTGCCCAAAGGTTGCCCATAAGCCAACATTTTTTCTTAAATTTACACTTTGAATAAAAAGAGTGCCTCCTTAAAATTATCTCTTATAATCCATAGATTTTTCTTTCTTTGTTCTAATAGACCAGAAATTGTTACAAAATTAAATATCAGATTTCTATCATTACAACAGCAACATAAAAAATATTTGGGATTACCCAGTTCTATTAAAGCCATTTTTCTAACAAATTACTTAAGTAAAGTAAAAAAGAGAGTATTTTCTAAAACTGAAATTAAACTGTGAGGCCAAGCATGCAGGAGGTAGAGGGAAGGCACAGCAGATGACCAGTCTGGCCTACACAGCAAGACCCTGTCTTCAAAACAAAAGAAAAAAAGGAGAAAAAGAAGAAAAAGAAAAAGAGAATAGAATAGACAAGTTTTATCCCAGAAATTATCATGTAAATAGATTACAATTTGTAATGTAACATAGAAATAGGGGGTTTTGTTATATTAAAAGCATTACTGGGCTTTCCCTTTGAGACTGTGCAGGCTGCTTCACTTTCCCTCTCAGCTGTGAATGCAAAGGCAAAGTAAGGAATTCCTGAAAAGAACCAAGTTTACCCAACAACACGAGCAAACCCCAACTTAAGCCACAATCTTTGGCCCATAAAAGAACGAAAGGTGCTCAAACAAGCTAATTAAAATTTTAGACAGAAAAGGACAGAAGATAAATGATCTTAAAGTCACTGAATTCTGAAATAAGTAGGCTCGCTTGCCCTTGTGCTTATTATGACTAACAAAATAGAAAGACATGGGGCTTGGCAGGTCTAGAATAACCTTGCACTTCGCATCCTCCTGAGTGCTGGGATTACAAGAATTTACCACGAGCTCATTTTACTCACAGCTGGGACTCAAACTCAGGCTCCTGTACACACTAGCTAGACAAGCACTCTACCAACTGAGCCATGGCCCAATACATACAGTATTTCTTAATGAGAAAACACAGAGGTAGCTGCAATGTATCTTTGTGAATATAAAGTATAAAAGATTAAATTCTAAAAATATATGCTTTCTGCATTCACACTATGTAACTATCCAATAAAGAGAGTCAGCAATATTGATAAACAAATGCATGAGTGGGCAGAACATAAAGCTCATCACTGTAATCCCAACACCCAAAAAATGAGGCTAAGTGAGAGTTTGAGCATGCACCAATGGGAGTGTGTTGGCAACACAAATTGGACTGGGTTTCTTTTTTTTTTCTTTTTTTTTGGGGGGTGGGGTGGGGATGAGGCCCAAGTGTGGGAGGTAGATCTGGGAGAAATGGGAAGTGAATGTGATCAAGGTACATTGTATAAAATTTCCAAATAATTAATAAAAGAAAAATTATGTTGGGGAGAAATAATAAAATGAGGCTGAAGGCTCTCAAGCAAGCATGGGTCAGGGGATAAGATCCTGTCTCAAAACAAAACTAGATAGTGTTCAATAAGTTGAAAATATTTTACCTCTATCAGTCAGTGAAATTCCAATGAAATAAGCTCAAGAGATTGAACAAAATTAATGCTACAAAAAACATCCAGTATAATCTAATGTGGAACTAGCTATCATTGCAACAGCATTTGGAAGTGCCAGTTTATATATGAACTATGGATATCCTAGCAATTCTAGGTAAGTATCATGCCATCCCGGGAATCAGAAGAAAAGGAGCCTAAGGAGTCAAAAGTCACAAATGTATGTTTCATTAGATGCATATCAATAATTAGAAATTAGAAGTCCACTAATAAGAGAATGTCTATACACATTTTAATGTGTTGGTTATCAAGAGGATAACATGTGGCAAATAAAAAATAAGATTTCTCAGTGTATATTAACATGGGAATAGCTCCAAAATACACTATTGAATACAAAGCAAAATATAGAACAATCTCTCTAATACAGCTTAGGAGACAGAAAAAATCTGCAAAATTAGCAAATTATGCATTCAACTATGAAAAATGTTAGAATAGGGGCTGAAATATATGTTACAGGATTGCAACTTTTACTCTTTGGAGAAACGTGTGATAAAATTAAGGAAGTTTTGGTGACCAAACACTATAAGGTGCATTTTTTAATCAAGTACACAGGAAACAGAATAAGAAATAATTGTTTTAATTACTTTAAGAAATTCACTATGCCTTTGTTCTGTGTTTGAGGCATGACTCAGGCTGGCCTCAACTGTGCACTCTCCATGCCTCCGCCTTCCTAAGTGCTGACTACGGTGTGTGCTGCCATACTTGGTTGGATTTTGACACATACACACATGATATTGTATGTTATAATTCCACCCTAGCTAAAGATTCTCCTCAATCCTTAAGGATGACTGACTGTATCTGAAGATACAGTGAATATAATTAGGTGCCTAACAGAGGTTTAGCCAACCTCATTTAAACTCCATTCCCTCTCTCTTTCTCTCTAATGAAATTTTCATTTTTTTTAGAAAATCTTCACTTAGTATATATGATTTCTTACAATGAAAACAACTACAAGCAACTAAGGAATGCTCAGAGTGAGAGAAATAGTGTTTTCCAGGGAAGAATACACCAAACGGTTATCCATACCAAATGGCCAGCCCTGAAAACATATATGAGTGGTATATACAACAGAGCAGGTTATATTTAGGTGTATATGTGTGTGTGTGTGTGTGTGTGTGTGTGTGTGTGTAAACAGTTAATTAAAAATAGGTCATGTATTTGAAGAGAACAAGGAGTATATGGCTAGTTTGGAGGGAGGAAAAGGAGAAGAAATAATATATATTATCATCTCAAAAAAATTTGTTTATTATTTTTATTTATTTACTACAATTTATTCACTTTGTATCCCAGCTTTAGCCCCCTCCATCTCCTCCCAGTCCCACCCACTCTCCCTTTTATCCCCCTATGCCCCTTCCCTAGTCCACTGATAGGGGAGGACCTCTGCCCTTTCTATCTGACCCTAGCCTATCAAGTCTCCTCAGGGCTGGCTGCATCATCTTCCTCTGTGGCCTGGCAAAGTTCCCCCCCTCCACCCCCAGGGTGAGGTGATCAAAGAGCTGGCCACTGAGTTCATGTCAAAGAGACAGGCCCTGTCCCCCTCTCTAAGGAACCCGCTTGGAAATTGAACAGGGGGTCTAGGTCCTCTTCATGTGTGGTCCTTGATTGCAGTACCGGTTTCTGCAGCACCCCCACCCCACCCCGGGCCCAGGTTGATAAAGAGGACCCTAGGGAAGAGGCTTAAACTTCACTCAGAAGAGCAAACGGGATAACTATCAGAAGCAGAAGAATATAAGGAAAAGGACAGGAGCCTTCCACAGGGAGCCTCTGGAAGACTCCACCCATCAGGGTATGGAAGGAGATACTGAAACTCATAGCCAAACTTTGGGCAGAGTGCAGAAAACCTTATGGAAGAAGAGGGAGATAGCAAGCCCTGAAGGGGTCAGGAGCTCCACAAGGAAACCAACAGAGCCATTTCATCTCTTATTCCGAACAAAAAAACAAGAATTCTATAGTGATTGTAACTATCAAAGAAATCAATAAGTACAAACAACAGAAATAAGAACTTTTAAATGAAAAGGGGAAAATGGCTCTCAAGCTATTGGCTCAAACAAAATGTATTTCCTTCCTTTCTGCTGACACTTCAGTGTAATTAACGAGCATGGTAGAAATCAAAAGTATTTGACACATGGCGGTTACCTGAAACCACACGTGGATGCTTCTTCGCACAGTAACACTTTCTTATGTCTATAACGGACACAATGCCAGTTTTGTTGAAATCCAGTTTCATGAAGGCCTGAAGAAAAACAGGGTTTCTCTCTGTGAAATCATTAGATGTGAAAAATTATTTACTAACTATAAACAAGACATTTTTGAGGGAGCTAAACAGGTGCTTGAAAAAGCATCATATACACAGGGAAAACGGAGACTAAAACAAACTCTAGGAGTCCCTCATTCTGTTTCATGTGTTCACTGTCTAGCATCCTGACCTGCAGAAAGACATTGATCCCATTGCCCTGCCCTGATTTTCCTTGGAGCTGAAGAGTTGGATCAAAGCCCTTGGTAACTTTCTGCCCCAGGACTCATGAAATTGATAAATGACCAAAATGAAAAACTGGGAAGTTATTTTTGTTGTTTTTGTTTTTCTTTTTGTTTGTGTTTTCATTTTAGTTCAAAAAGGGAACCAAAAAGTCCATAACATTAGAATTAATGAACACATAAAACAGTTTCTTTTTTGCATTTATTAATTATTATTATTATTATTATTTATCACAATTTATTCACTTTGTATCCTGACTATGGCCCCTTCCCTCATCTCCTCCCATTCCCTCTCTACCTTCCTCTTCTCCCCTATGCCCCTTCCCTAGTCCACTGATAGGGGTAGACCTCCTTCCCTTTTATCTGATCCTAGCCTATCAGGTCTCATCAGGACTGGCTGCATTGTCCTCCTCTGTGGCCTGGCAAAGCTGTACATTTCAGTAGGAGGTGATCAGAGAGCGTGCCACTCAGTTCATGCTAGAGAAAGTCCCTGCTCCCTTTACTAGGGAAACCACTTGGAGACTGAGTCTATAGATTACATCTGACAGGAGTTTTAGGTCCTCTCCATGCATGGTCCTTGGTTGGGGTATCAATCTCGACAGGGTACCCAGGGCATAGTTTTTTGTTGTTGTTATTGTTTTATTTTGTTTTTTGTTTGTTTTGTTTTTGTTTGGTTTGGTTTGGTTTTTGCTCTGTTGGTCTCCTTTAGGAGCTCATGTCCCCTCTAGGTCTTTCTATCTTCCCTTTCTTTCATAAAATGCCATGCACTCTGCCCAAAGTTTGGCTATGAGTCTCAGCCTCTGCTTCAATACCTTGATGAATGGAGTCTTTCAGAGGCCTACTGTGGTAGGCTCCTATCCTGTTCCCTGTCTTCTCCTGCTTCAAATGTCTATTGCATTTGCCCTGCTGAGTGAGCAATGTAACACTGCTTTTCAGTTCCTCACTGACTCACTTAGTGTTCTTCCAACTCAAAGCAACTTGCATATCAAACATAGTAAGAAAGGAAAATACACAGACAAACCAAGCTATCCAAAGCTTGTGTGGAGCCTGTGCTTGCCAGTAATCAAAACCAGAAGCATCTTTGTTTATTGACAGCTTTTACTCACAGCAACATTGACCTGCTCTAAATTCAATTGTGCCCCAAATTCTTATTCTTTTTTTAAATTTTTTATTTAACTTTTATTAATTACACTTTATTCATTTTGTATCCCCCCATAAGCCCCTCCCTCCTCCCCTCCCGGTCCCACCCTCCCCCCCCTTTCTGCATGCATGCCCCTCCCCAAGTCCACTGATAGGGGAGGTTCTCCTCTCCTTCTTTCTGATCTTAGTCTATCAGTTCTCATCAGAAGTGGCTGCATTGTCGGGGTTCTAGGTTATCTCCATGAATAGTCCTTGGTTGGAGTATGAGTCTCTGGGAAGTTCCCTGTGTTCAAATTTTCTTTTTCTGTTTAGTGTCCCAGAGTAGGACTATATGTAGAGGTGGGGTCCTTCAGAAAGTAATTAAGATGAAACAGAATCATTAGGGTAGGTTCCAGTCTAGGATGACTAGACCAAAGGACAACATAAGGCACAGAGGGACAGCCACAGAAAACAGTGGGAGAACCACCTGCAGACTACAGTGAGGCCTCACAGAAACCAGAAAGGCCAGCCCTTCCTAGACTCTCTTCTTCAAATTATAAGAAAATAATCTGACAGGCCCGTCTGTGGCTCTGACCCTTTTTTTCACTCTTTTCTTTTTTACTTTGTCATTTCACCCTTTTCTTTTCTTTCTTTCTTTTCTTTCTTTCTTTCTTTCTGTCTTTCTTTTATTCCTTTAATTCTTTTTATTTTATTTCTTTATCTTTTTGTCCTTTATTCTAAGTACCAAGATTTATGCATTAGACAATAATTCAACTTCTACTCTGCTACTCAAACTTATTACCATGGCATATAAAGAACAATTAATTTGGGGTAAAGCTATAAATGGGTGATAAGTTTGCTTTACTTAAAGTTTTTATTACATCTCTTGGTCAGTAAAGGTAAAGAGCTTTAATTTTTTTTTCACTTGAGTCTGGAACCTGCTGTAATTACTTATCTCATTCTGTGTAGAATAGCTTTTCAGAAATATGAGACACATGTACATATTATATTAAATACAGTCACAAAAAAAACTATACCACTCAAAATTATACTCTAAACATGTCTGCTAGAACTGGATTAATCTATTTTTTAGCTTTAAAAATTAGGGGTTTTGTGTATGTGCTATATGTGTTATGTAAGCGTAACATATGGGCATGTATGTACGTGAATGTGTGCGGCACAAACACTCAGGGTGTCAGTCCTCACCTCCCACCTTGTTTGAGACAGGGTCCCTTTGTTGTTAGCTAATGCATATTCAGGCTAGTGAACTGGGAAATGCAAGGAGTTCCTTATCTGGGCCTCTCACCCTCCCATAAGAGCACTGGATTTACATGGAACCTGAGAATTTGAAGTCATTTCTATCAATATTTTAATTCAATATATATTTGAATTCTATATTGAACTCAACATAAATTTGAATGTGTGTGTGTCTTACTAAGCCCAGCATGCATTGCAGCTAAAATGATATGTTTTAAGTGACAGTTCACTAAAGGTGCTAACAATTAATCTAACAACCTAGTGAAAGTAGCAGTTTGAGATAAGGTAAGTTACCTTGCGAACAAATGATTTTCTGTATTCATTCATTTCACCAAAAATGGCACGTTTGAATTCTCCGTAATCAACCTTGTTCTTGCTATGGCTGCTGCCTTGCAGAATTAACCAAGAAGACTCAAAGTCCTAGAAATTCCCACAGAAGTTGCAATTACATCTTTAAACTATATAAGTCACAACAAGATCAGAGTCATATTTTCTTAGCTCATCTATGGCCCTAGACAAGAGAATTCAGAAAGGTGAAAATAAATCTAGTAAAACAGCTGTGCAAGGAATTCTGGAGTGAATGCCTCAGCAAAGTGGAGGGCCTGCTATGTAGGAGACTAACTCACAACATATCCTTTCTAAGGGTATGTTTTTTGAGGGCAGACAAATGCTGAGGATTAAACATGGGGCCTTGCATACCAGGTGACATTCAATCATTGATGTACATTACCATGTTTTGTTCTCAAATGATAATAGTATATGTTGGGAGCATAACGTGGTTTCTCAGTGCACAGATATGCAGCAGAAAGATCAAACCAGACTAAAAACCATCATCTCTATCATTTCAAACATTTTACATTATTGTAGTAAAAAATATTTAACATCAGTTTTAGCTATTTTTAAACACACAGTCCATTATTCTTGACTATATCCCGCTGGCTGTGCAATAGATAAAACTCATCCTCTTGTCCTAATGAAAATTTATGTTATTTGGTCAATCTTTCCCTTTCTCTAAATATATTACACTCCCCACATTTATTTTTCGATATCTTTTCTTTTATATAAAGCAATAATGGTGGCCGTGCACTCGGTTTTGATCATTTCTCCAGTTGTAAATGTATTCTATCTGTGACAATTTGCAAGTCTGTTGGGTTTTGAAATGCCACTAACACTAAGACCATTAATGGTTTTGTTTGTTTTTTTTTTTTTTTTCTGATCTTGGAAGTATAGAAATTATGGATGACTTTCAAACTATTGCCAAATTTACACAAATTGTTATAATTCTAACTAAACACCTTATGTTGGTTTGTTCACTGCCAATACCATATGCTTCTTTGGCAAAGGTGCCATTTAATATACTGCTCTATTCAGTGTCCTTATAACAAAAGAAATTATAGCATTCCTCTACTGAAGCTCAGATAGATATATTTTCAATACTTCTATCAAGTTGTTAGCTTTAAGCAAGAACATAAATAAAACACCTATTATGGCAAATAAGTACTCAAAAATTATTCTCTTCTACTTATTAATATTTTCAAATAAAATTGTAATTAGAAAACTGAGATTCAAATTACTCTGCCTCTCTTCAGAAGCCAATGATCTATACAGTATCTGCATGTCAAAAGGCCTCATACATTACAAAAGTGTGTATGTGTGTACAGCTGAGGTAAAACTGAGCCCAAGTGTAACTTTTACAAATCATGAGTAAAGTAGACAAAAGACAAATGTGTTCACTTAAAGAATACCAGAAATTTGAAAAAAATGTCTGGAGGCTCAGAAGACACATTTTCAAGAATTAAATAATGCAATGTAAGGGGCAAAAAATTCATGACTATGTCTGTATATGGTTCAGAATGGGAACTAATTCGGTTGAGATTTTCACTTCATTGATAGTATTTCTCTATAAACTTGGCTCTTTGCGGAGCACATCGCTTTTTATTTAAACCAGAGAGAATGGCCATGTCTTTTCACAAACATGTTCTACTTCCACAGTGAGACCCAGGCTGGTGATGCGTATATTAAATTCTCACATCTCCGTGCGTGCACTTGTGATTGCACAATTGCATGCATGGCACGGGTGACATAACAAGAATCACAATAGTTAAGATATGTGATTTGGCTGGACATTTAGTACAAAAGTAGAACACTTACTTTGTATTATGAGACCCTTTGAGCAATTCTGAGCACCATAAAAATAATTAATAGATTAAGTCTATAATAAAACATATAAGAAAGGATGAAATTTACTTGCATCCTTATGTTATCTTTCTTAGTAACTGGGGTAGAATGAGAATGCCACCCCCCCCCCATAGACTCATATGTTTGAAAGCTTGGGTCCCACTTGGTGGAACTATTTGGGAAGGATTAGGAGGTGTGGCCTTGTTCGAGTAGATGTGTCACTAGGGTTGGGCTTTGAGAGTTCAGAAGACCATGCCATTCCCAGTGATCTCTCACACTCTGCTTCATGGTTGATGCATCAACACATAGGATCTCTATTGTTCCAGTGACATTCCTGTCTGCCTGCTGCTATGCCTCATACCATGGTCGTACTGGACTCTAACCCTCTGGGGAACTAAGAGCCTCCAGTTTAAATCCTTTCTTTTATGTGCATTGGCCATGTGGTATTGTCACAGCACTAAAAGAGTAAGTAAAACAGAAGTTTTAGATAATTGGCCTTATTCACTCGTTGTAGATATTTCTTAAACAAATACAGAGCAGCAAAGAAATGCAATACTTTCCCGTACTCCACAGGGCCAGATTATCTGAACCCTTACTGATTTGTTTAACAAAAATATAGCATGGCATTCTAATTTTCTGTCATGTTTTATTTTGTTCATCTATGATAGAAAGATGTGAAGGTGGATGTTCCCTGGCCTTTTCTCACCAAACAGGTCACAGGCTTAAATGTCATCATCACAGCAAATCAAAGGACAATTATGTCCCAATAGTGGTATGCAATGTCACACTGACACAAAATTTTACAGGCGATAAAGCAAATTCTCGTGCAATTTTTTATTTGAGCTTCCATGCCACCCTAAATACAGCAATTGTCTAGGAATTGCTCATGAAGAATCTGTCAATTAGAAAAGTCAAAACACACAGCTAAGTGGTTACACTATTACATGACCCTAAATTTCAGAAACATACTACATCATGTGACAAGATGGGTTTTTTTTCATCAAAAGAGAAAAGCGTAAAAGAATGCTGTATATGAAATACTGGATATAAATTGTGTGCTTTCAGCATACAAGCGAAACTTCCCAATACAGCAGACAAGCCTTGCATGTACCAGACTTAATTTCTCCCACTCTTCATCTACTTTCTCAAGCTGTGTGCTAATGGTTTCATGGTTGCTACGCCAGGTTCAGTTCAAAGGAGCAGGAACCAGAGTCACCAGGTCACCATAGGATGGGACTTGTCATTTTACTTACAGGCAGATACAAAGTGCCATGAAGAAAATAAAAGGGAGGTTGGTATGCACAGGATCAGAGATCAGAAGGCAGAGCTTCTTTGTAAAGAAAGCTGTGGCCCCAATGACAAAGAGACAAAAATTGAGAACACAGATATCGTGTGAGATCATTCATATCAGAGTGGAGAGTGTTTAGGAAGTGAGTCCCTGCAGTTTAGGGAAGAGCCACAATCCAGGCGTGGAAGGTGCTTTCCTTTCTGCCCCTTGTCTGAGCTCTTTGTGGAAGATCCACAGGTTGCTACTGTCCTCTACCCTTGTCCAGTTAGTGCTTCCTTGTTATTCAAAACCCAACCTGAGAGCATCTTCCTGCAGGAATCCTGCCATGCTCTTCCCTCTGCTTCCTCATACCTTGCTTTGGAGCTCAGTACCTCCATGCACAGGCTTTTAGAAAAGGCAGACTTTTCTAAAAGTCTGTTCCCAGTGCATTAGCCATTTGATGCATTATTAACTTAACTACTTTCTTCAATTTTAAAGATTACGAGAATGGAGAATATGCCATCTCAGAGTTTAACACATGCCTGGATATTAAACAATTCAAAGACACATGATAAAGGAATAAATGTCAAAATTTTAAAAATCATTGTGACTTGTTGCCTGGTGGCTTAACACTGATTGCAGGGCATTAAAAAAGTAATAAGCTATAGAAGACTAACAGAGCTAACAAATCTAGGCCCAGGGAGTGAGGAAGTCTGTGGAGACTGATGCACCTAGACCCCCTGCTCAGATATAGGCAGCCCTGTCTCCGTGTGGGTTTCCTAGTAAAGGGAGCAGGGTCTGTCTGTGACATGAACTCTGTTACCTACTCCTCCTCGATCACTTCCCCCTGGTGGGGTGACCTGGCCAGGCCACAGAGGAAGAGGATGCAGGCAGTCCTAATGAAACTTGATAGGCTGGGGTTAGTTGGTAGGGGAGGAGGACTCCCCCTTTCTGAGGACTAGGGGAGGAGGAGTGGGGAAGAAGAAGAATTATCCCGAATAATTCCTCAGGATATGACTGGAATGAGATGAGGGAGGAGGCTACTATTGGGATGTAAAATAAATTTTAAAAATAAATTTAAATTAAAAAAAACTGTTTTTATCAGAAAAGCGAGCAAACCCATGTAAGAAATACACCCGCAGTAGAAAATGGTATGTGGTACATACCTGTTCGGACACGTCTAAATGAAAGATTTTCAGAGCTTGCTGAAAGTCTGCCTTGGCTAAAAGCCCTTTCCCTGCTTTGTCCAAATGTTGAAAGTGTTTCCCCAATCCAGTCAAAATACGGACGCCTTTCTTGTGTAGTTGTTCTTTTAGTTTACCTGTTTAGCGAAAAGAGAAATGGAGGCTAATTGCTTCTGTGCCTGAAGCTATCAAACTGCAGTTGTTTCTCTTTTGAGAAAATAAGTCGATAATAATGGAAATAAGAGATATGAATATTAATGAAAACATGCACTGGACTGCCAGAAGACGTCGGAAAGTAGAATGTTTTTAACAAAGACAATGTCAGACACAACTGCATGTTCCTAATACTCCAGAACTACAGCACCACTGTGTGGTGAAAGTGTTACATTTTACATACAGGCAATAATGCTTCTCTTTATTCACTAAGAAAATAACCTAAATGTTACAAATAAAATCTTAGCTTCTCTTGTTTAGATCTCTCATCTAACTGCCCCATCTTCACTGTCTTCCTTATTTCTTTATTTACATTAACTGGACTACAAAATTGATGCCAGGCAAATCACACATCAAAAAAAAAAAAATTAGTTCAAAAAATTTAAGTAGTTTAAAAGTTTAAAGCCAAAACAAAATGTGGCAGATGACATCTAGATTTTGGAATACTAGTCTATACTTATATATTCACAGTAACCTTTTTTTTCCCTAAAAATTCTTAGGGGTTACCTATCCTGGCTCCTAAATGCTCCTTTTTGCACAGGCATTACATTTAATACTGTCTGTGTCATATTATGATGAATACATTAGAAAAAGAATACAAATGTCACTAACTTCGGTAGTGACAAAAACCATACTGGCTATGACAGAGCAGAGAGAAAAAGACCTACTGACCAGGGCCATACCAGTCTCATCCGGCACATTCTCCCCCTGGATGTGAATGTCTTATCCCCAATAATTCCTCAGGATTCATCACAATTCTACAAGTTTATATTGACTTCTATGATGAATTGTTTTATGTCTTTCTTCCTTCTAGACTATGACATTCAATAAAGGAATGGTTTATTATGGCTAGTACACCATACTCGTTACAGAAATTTGTAAAACTGTTTTAGTGGCCTAAGCCTATCTACAACTCCTTTGTTCCCTCTGGCTTCCCAGGGGAAATGAAGGAGACATGATCCTCACTGAGAGGTGAGGAAAGAGTTGCGAAGGATCTACGTAAAGTTTCATGTCTACTGAACAGCAGGATCTGTTCACAGACATCAGGACACATTCGATAGAATGTGAACTGGAGACACAGTCAGGCACTAAAGCATGAGTCTCTTCAGGGCATCATCTGAGGCATAAAACAAGTATAGGTGGTTCGTGCCTATAATCCCAGACTCTGCAGGTGGAGGTTAGAGGACTGCCGAGAGTTAGTTCCAGGATAGCCAGGTCTGCAAAGTGAGCGGCAGTCCACCTGAACTACAGTGTGAGCCTTTGTGTGAATATATATATATATATATATATACATTTATTATATATACACACATATATACATATATATGCATATATATATGCTTTATGTGAATATACATATAGATATACAGCTATAGATATGACATATAAATATATAGATATCATGACCAAAGGAGATGGGTCAATGGGGAACCTGCCACCAATCCTGATGACTCAGTTTGAGTTTCATGGAAAAAAGTTTGACTTCCGCAAGTTGTCCTCTAACTTCACTCAAGTGCTGTATCACACATAGCCACCCACAGAAACGTGCACATATACAAATAAATAGACTTTAAATTCCTTAAAAATCAAGTTCATGTTTTATTTAGCTTATGATTAAACCCATATTATATATTTCTAAAATTATTGTTATAATTCCTTTTACTTTGTACCATTAATACAGAAAAATCTTGAAAATAGTTTTAAGAATTATTTTATTATTTATGTACATATTTGTGTGTCAAGACTTATTTTATTATTCATGTATATGCTTGTGTATCTGTGGGGAGGGAGTGCACACATGCTTTTGACTCATAGATGTCAAAAGAGGGCACCAATTCCCCTAGAGGTGGGGTTAAAGAGGGTTGTGAGCTGTGTGATGTGGGTGCTGTGAACCAAGCTCGCATCCTCTGGAGCAGGGTCAAGTTCTTCTGTTTACTTAGTCATCTCCTCAGCCCCCTAAAACATTAATATGTGTGTGTGAGTGTGTGTATATCATATGTTATATATATATAATAAAATATGTAATATTTTTAGAAAGTAGTTATGTGTACTTTCTAAAATACTAAAATGCAAATTAAAGTCTGTAATACTTAAAAGTATAAAAAAATATTATTTTAACTGATGACAAGGAAAATAGTTGAACGGTACAAATAGAACTTGAGAGTGTAAAAGAACCCGGCATACATACCCTGGACGGTCTGCAGCACCAGCCGATCATGGGCCTCCTGACTGACTGTGTCATCTTCCCCGGGTTCCACAGAGGCACTTCTGCAAATGAAATGAACAATCTGAGCTGTGCTTCCCCACTCCAGACTAAAAGGCGCTGCACCAGCTATGGTGGTGTGCAAGCTAGAGCGATCCCCACCTCTGCCCACTGCTTTGGATTCCATGGAAAACTAAGTGCAAAGATTATAAAAGAACCACAGTCTTTGAAGATATTAATTTTTACAACTGCTTTAATGTTTTAAAATAGCTAAACTAGGGAACCCACTTGGAAACTGAGCAGCCTATGGGCTTTCTCTGAGCAGGGAGTCTACATCCTCTCCATGCATGGTCCTTGGTTGGAGTATCAGTCTCTGCAGGCCCCCCTGGCTCTGTTTCTCTCCTTGTGGAGTTCCTGTCCCCTCCATGTATTTCTCTCCCTCTTCTTCCATAAAGTTTCCTGCACACTACTCAAAATTTGGCTATGAGTCTCAGCATCTCCTTCCATACAGTGATGGGCAGTCTTTCAGAGGACCCTTGTGAAAGGCTGCTATCCTGTTCCTTGTCTTCTCCTAATTCCAATATCTATCCTGTTTGTGCTTCTGAGTGAGGTTTCAGCCTTTTCCCTAGGGTTCTCCTAGTAGTTTAGGAATATAGGAAATATATTCTTTAAGAATATAGACTTTAGTATGTTTATCCTATATTATATAGTTAATAGTTAATATCTACTTATAAGTGAGAGGAACAGGGGCTGTCTCTGACATGAACTCAGTGGCTGACTCTGATCACCTCCTGGGCGGTTGCAGCCTTGCCAGACCACAGAGGAAGATAATGCAGCTAGTCCTGATGAGACCTGACAGACTGGGGTCAGGTATAGGGGGAGGAAGACCTCCCCTATCAGTGGACTGGGGAGGGGGCATAGGGGAAAAGAGGGAAGGTGGGTGGAACTGGGAGAAGGGCTACAGCTGGGATACAAAGTGAATAAATTATAATAAATAAATAAATTAATTAATTAATAATAAAATATCTATAACTATTAAATTTAAAAGCAGTTTTAGCTTGCAAAGTATAAACTGTAAAAATGCTTTTAAAGCCCTGAAGATGCACGACTAAATGAATATTTTCACAGCTAGATTGTGGACTATGATTCCTAATATATATTTAATATATGTATACATATGTATATACAATACATCAATTATTACAATTTTAATCATATTTAGTGTCGAGAAACATTCAAGCAAAAGGTGTGTATTAGATTATTTAAAATGAACCTTCATGTAATTTTTTATTCATGACATTATTTTTTTTACTACATGGTCAGTCAATAAATAGTATCACAATAGGGACCATAGCTTTTTATGTTATAAAAGACATCACACCTTATCTTTATTATAAAACAGAACAATTTTAAATGTTTAATTGTCATAACTGTTCCAAAACACAAAGTGAGTTTGATTATAATACAGAACATAAAGTAGACATACATTGCTATTATTTGTAAAATACAAGCCTTCTAAAGTGTGAAACAAATTGTGATAGACGCTCCTTCTGAGATACAAACTATAGTGTTATCACTAATTTTCAAAATGACAAATGCTTTTGACTTACTTCAGAGAATTCAAAGCTATTTGATCAGTATTTGTAATTCGTAGTCTAAGTAATGTGTTTTCTTTTATGCTCTTTGGAAGGCTAGGATGATCACAGCTCAAAAATGTCAAAGTTGCACCCTGAGGAAATGAATGGACAAGTATTTTAAAGCTAGAAGGCAAGCAAAAATAAAATATAACTCATTCTAATTGAAGATGTTTGATTTTATATTATAGTTGCTTTGGGATATCCTAATGGTGACTATAATGTAGTAGGCTTGAAGAATAGTTAGGGAATATATCCAGATAATTTTATAGAAAAAAAGAACCAATTTTCTCAAAACCTAACACAGTATGCTTCTATCCAATAATCCATGTGAATAAAAGAGAATTCATATATAAGATAAGAACCGCAGAAAATATGACATGAGCTCCACTGACTGTGTGGATCCACAGGACGTAATGCAGAATCGCCTGGCAAAGGCGTCTCAGTGTGGGGCTGACTGTATTAGACTGACCAGTGAGCATGAGGGAGGACTGTTTTTATAGTGCTGAGTTGGGAAGATGCAGCCACTGTGGGCGGCTTCATTCCCTGGACAGGGGATCCTGGAATGTCTAACAGTGGAGAAAGCAAGTTGAGCACTAGCACATGTTCATTACTGGTTCATGGTGCTCTGCTCTGGGCTGTGGATATGAGCAGCAGGTGGCTTCAAGTTCCTGCCACCTTGACTTCCCTGTGATGATGACTGTAACCTGGAGTTGAGAGCCAAATAAATCATTTCTCCCTTTTGTTATCACAGCAACTGAACAACAACAACAAAGGATAACTAGAGCTCTTGGTTCAAAGAAAGATGCCGTGTAGACTAGGGAAATCTGGTTTACTGATCACAGCCTTTCACTCCATCTTTGGAAACTACAAATCCAAATTTTAACCTAGTTAGAGCACAAGTGTTTCAATGACAGAATTCTTACAAAAAGTTCCTAATACAAACCAGAGAATTAATCTAATTTCAGAGTTTCTCACATATATATGACCAACATATGGATAAATGCAAACTCTGATGGAGGCTTCTTTCTTTCTATAGAGCAAAAGAAAAGTAATTTCCCCTCCCTCCTTCTTGGAATAGTTACTTTAGAAAATTAATAACTGTGATGTAGGCACTTTCTTGGCCCTTTGAAATAGATATAGATTCTTTTGAAAATTAAATTATCTATTGTTAGATTTATGGCCAAGTGAAATCTTTCCCCAGGGCTATAAAACATTCTAGGAAAGGTAAACATAAAGGGAGAGACAGCACTCAAAAAATCTGTATATATCCATACATATACCTGCTGAGATAAATTCTCAAAATACATACTGTTTACACAAAATATCACAGGCATGGATGATGCCTTCCTTCCTCCCTCTCTTCCTTCTTGCCTCATTACCTCTCTTTTTCCATTCATGCCTGCTTTCTCCTTTCTTTCTTCCACACTATCATGGGATATAGAAGGAAATGAATTTCCATATTTGGTTCATATGAAGGGGGAGGGTAAAATAGATTAGCAACTACAATGGATTGCAACAGCAGCAGCTCAGAACTTGTATTAACTGTCCCCTTCAATAGACAGTAAGCATGTCATCTTTTGAATTGCACTAAAGGAGTCAAAACTGACTTTCTCTAGACATCAAGAGACAAGTGTGGATGTCATGGGAATGAAGTGTCTAACCCAAGATTAAGATGTCTAGTGCTTCCTCCTCCTTCACTTGTTCCTTAGTCATCACATCTTAGTGGTTCTGTCTCCTAAGGATTTGTTCTCTATCTTTGTAGCCATTGCCATTTGCATATCAAGGTGCTATGAGTGCTGTCCTAGATAAACATCCATCCAGTCTGTGCCTTGTGTGCCTAGTCTTCAGACCATTCCACATACTGAAGGAAGAGAGATATCTCTAAATTACAAATCTGACCATGTAGATGCTCCAGTCTCCCACACCCTCTCTTCAGTGGCTCCTTGATATATTACATATTGCGCTTTAGCGTAAGGCTACTTTTTTATTTATTTGGGAGGGAGTGTAGGTGTAGATGAATGGAGGTCACAGAACACCCTCAGGTAGCACACTACATTCACCTTTTATTCAATGAGGCCTGGTCTTTCTCTGCTCCAGAACTCACAAGCAGACTAAGCTGTGTCCAGCCAATAAGGGTAAAACTGACCTGTCCCTGTCAGCCCAGCACTAGGATCACAAGTGTGTTCTTACCAAGCCTTGAATTTTTACACGGGTTCTGAAATTTGATCCCAGGTCCTCCTGCTTGTACGATTAAACTCTGCCTACTGAGCTGTCTCTCAGCTCAAATTTACTTTTCCTTCATCCTACTTTCACTTCTCCAGATAACCCATGTACTGTCTTGCCTCTGTTCTCTATACATGTTCTTCTCCACCTCAAAGTCTTTCCCTCACCTCGTGGGAAAGTCGCAAAAGACAAGCTATCACAGTCACAGCTCCAGAGGACAGTGCTACTCTACAGATAAAATAAAGTACCTCCTTAAATGGAGTATTGCTCCCAGTGTTGCTGAGGTAGCTACTTACCCAGAACGGGCCTTGTACAGAGAGCTACAGACAGGCTCTCTTGGCAACCATCTCTGTTAAAAAACCATGTGCAGATGTTTATGGAAATTAAATACTATGCTTAAGAGTCAAATGATTAGGATTCATTCACCATTCACCATTCATACAAATGTCTCTGATCGGAAAAATAAACTGGACCCACGGCCCTTGCTCCACACCAGAAAAAATGAACGTAGTCCATCATAGGGTAGTAAGTGCAGGCGCACACACACACACACACACACACACACACACACACACACACACTTATACTGTATTGACAGCACACATACACACACACACACACACACA